GACTCTGGAAAAAGCTGGTGAAAGAACCAGCATTATAGCAGCAACTAGTTAAGCAGGAAGACAAAGCAGGGGCAGATCAATGCAGCCTGAGCCATACAGGTAAACTTGGCAGCTTCCTAGGCAAGCTCAGTCCAAAGAGCATTTGTAATTTCCTGAAGTAGCACATAAATATTGGTTCTGGTGCTGATCTGAAAATGGCTGGTTCCCTGTTGGAACCAATAGTGTGGCTGAATGCTCTGTGATAACAGGATGATTGCCAGCTTAGGGTGGCAAAAATATCTGAGCCAGCCCCAGAGAGATGACAGTATCGAGAATCAAGAGCTACACTTGTGGTTCAGAGTTTATCTGTAGGGTCAGCAAAAGTCAGTGAGTAGAACAGGAGAGGAGGGACATCAGAACCAATCAGTCGAGGAGGGACATCAGAATAAGATTGCTAATTCAAGCCAAGGATGTAGCATAGTCGCTAAAGGTGTGCTAAAAAAAATGACCCTAAGGTTGCTGCTTCATTTACCAGTGAGACGTAACAAGTAATGTTAACGTTGCCTTGGCTGTCCTTTCCATAGTTTCACAGTCAAATAAGCCCTTTCAGAAATAACATTTTTAAGCTCCAGCAAACTGCTTGTGTTTTAGTGATTTTATGTTTGTTTTTTTGTTCCCACTTTACACAGGCATGCAAAACGAAGTACAATCAACCTTGAGGATGTAAAACTTTTAGCTAGAAGGAGCAAGTCCTTGGTGAGATGAACCTCTTGTTTTCTTGGCACGTTGTTCAGAAGTCTTGCAGTTTGTTCCTAAGGATGCCTTCAGACAAATTAACATTTGTTGCCAATGGAGAAACTGCTTTCCTCAGTTATTGTTCCATCCCAAATGTCACCCTTGAATGTCTGTCTTCTGCTTTTTTCCTCTTTCCCCCCCTTTGTCATGCCTCTCTGAAGTGTAGTGACACATGCTGCACTAAGGAGCAGCAGTCGTTGTAAGTGGTTCAAAACAGCCATAAAATGCAAGGGTGAAGTGTGTGACATTTCTACACAAAGCTCAAATATATAATGACCGTCTACCACAGCAGTGATTGTTGATACCTCATTCCTACTAGTTTTTACTGCATTAATTTTGCATCTGTAGAGGGAGAGAGAACCTTGGTCTTGATTGAAGCCCTGATATGTGTAACAAAACTTTGTGATACCTTTTAGTTCTGCAAAAGTTTCCCTTTTGCAGCTCTTCTGTTTGAAGAGTGGTGACTTCCTGGTTAGCAACAGAATGTCCTGGATGACTGAAATTTTCCTGGATCCTTGGACTGATACTAAATGTTAGCAGAGATTAATGGCTGCTGTCAAAAATAGCCCTGCTTTTCCTGGTAGCTCAGGGGTGGGGAAACAGAATGATTTAACCCCCACTCATCAGTGGAGCGTTATATCCTACTGCTTTGGTCATACACACCATTTCCCTGAGGAGTATTGGTGGGTGTAGCCGACACAAAATTTAAGCCCGCCTATCGGCTGATGTCATCCATCCATTGGAATAATGTAAGCTGATTGACTTGTGGCTGTGGTTTTGAAAAATTGCCTGATGGGTCAAATTGGAACCCATGGCAGGCCAAGATTGGTTCATGGACCAGGGGTTCCCATCCCTGTAGTGACATCTAGCAACACAAAATGTGGGATGTGCAAGTTTCCCCCCACTTGTAAGGGCAATCTCAAAGCTTTTATGTTGCTGCACATTGTCAAAAGGAGATACAAAGCTGCTGTTATCTGGGGTAGCTGTCTCTGTGTGTATGTTCCATAGCATCTAGTTCCTGGCCTGGGTTTGTTTATGCATGAGAAGGGCTGTGTTTTGGATCTAGGTGTTCTCTGAGATATTTATCTGTTCCTTTGTAAAAAGAGAAGGAGAAAGAGAAAGTAGGATTTCAGTTTCAAATGCTGTGTGTTTTTGCTAGCCTTAAGGTAATCTAGGCAAGCCTTTCCACCCCTCTGTGCAATATGCAGCTACAAAGAAAAGGCTGAGGGGGTGCAAAGGGTGCAGCTGATTTGTGTGTCCTTGAACTAACAGCTGCAATACGGCTTAATTGGGCATATAACGTCTTATCAGGAAGAGCAAGACAGTTGTGCCCCTCTACACTCTTAGATCACAGCTGTGCTAGTTAATAGCCCCTTGTTTATACTTGGTTGCTATTAGTGTTGTTCTAATTGGTGTGTGTGAGAGAGGGGAGAACAGTCCTGTATAAGCAAAAGATCCAGAAAAAGGTTTCCTACTCTTGATCTAACTTAATATTGTCTACTCTGACTTGTGGCAACAGCACTCCAGAGTCTTGGACAGAAGTCTCCTATTTGCTACCTGCTGGAGTTATTGGGGACTGAACTTGCAGCCTTCTGCATGAAAAGCATGTGCTCTTTCACCAACCTGTGGTGAGGAATGCTCTCACTAATTGATACTTTGCCCCATAGGTGAGTAATAAAAACTATTTCTTTCTAGCTGAAATATGTCACTGAGAAGAGTGAAGAAATTGCTTTGAATAGCCTGGAAGAAAAAGAGAAAAGGAAAAAGAAATCGGGCTCTCGGAAAGGGAGAAGAGCCTCTGATGAACAGGAGGAACATGTGGTGGCTGAAAGTGATGATTCCAACATGGCATAATTTTCTCTTATCAAGACAACATCATTTTCAACACGGAGTAATGAGATCCTGGGACTGCCTTAGGATCTTCAGTTGCTGCTTGCCCTTGGGTAGAACTCTTGTGGTTTTCATTAGTAAGTAAGCAAGCACAATGCAGTTGGCATGCCAGTTCCATTTCTTACAGCAGACATGAAAAATAGATGCGTTGAACATTTGGGAAAGAGAGATTTTAAGCAAATGGAAAACATTGATAAGTCTTTTCTATTTCACTTTACTTAAACACATAATGCATTGTATAAAGGCCATAGGTCATAACGTATTAAATGTAATTAGATGTGAATAACTGCCTTTTTCATCAGTCCCTGTCTTCAGAGTGGCCAAGCATTTGCAGAAGAATTGCTCCCTTTCCTTTGCTCGGCAGCACCCCTGCAAGAGATTTTTTTTTTCACTTCCAAATTTTGGGACACATTAAGAATCGTATTGCATCACACCAAAGGTCCACCCAGTCCAGCATCCTGCTTCTGATGGTGGTCTACCAGATGTCTCCAGGAAACCCTCATGCAGGAGGGCAGTAGCCCTCTCCAGCTGCCACCCCATCCCCCTGCAATTGGTATTGATTGACATGTTGCCTTTGAATCTGGAGGTCTGCATATGGCTGCCAGAGGTTAGACCTCCTGCGTGAGTGAAAACCTTTATGCTGGAACACCCCTCAAACTTCTCCAAAGCAAGGGTGGCTCTTTGCAGAGCATACACGAACAGAATAAGGTTTGACATCCTTCTGGCTATAAACTTTCATTGTTTAACAAATATACAGATACCAGTTCGTGACAGGATTGATAATAAGAATCAGCAAAAGTCCATAGCTGGCTATTATAAACAACCCATTCCCATTTCTCTAACCAGATCCCCACATTCTTGACAGCAGGCAGGCACACGCTCTTAAGTGTCAGTTCATAAGTGAAATCTTTTCCCTGTTTTCAGCTCCAACCAACTTTGTCTCTCTCACTGACTCCCTTCATTATCAAAGAAATGCTCTCATTTATGGGGCCTATGCTAGATGAAAGTCGTAATACCAATGTGCCTTGAACCCTTCATGTGAAGTTTCCAGGGGAGCAGTTCTCTTGACAAACTTGCATACTGCCTGCAATATGGTTCCAAAGTTCACAATAAGATCCCAAGTTGCCCATCTGCTTTTCCCCTGCATGGGTTGGAGAAACAATGATCAAACCAGCCATTTCAGCTCAGGCCTGTGGCATGGCCATTTTGACTAGTAGCCGTTGATAGGCATGACCTCCTTTCATGTGTGTGTGTCAATGCCTCTTTTGAAACTTAAGCTAGGGGCCCTCACCACTTCTTGTGATAGTGACATTCATAAATTAATTATCAGTTGTGTGAAGAAGCATTTTCTTTAGACTGCCCTGAACCTACTGCCAGTCAATCTTAGTATCACCCATTGAAGTTTAGTATTATAAGAGAAGGAAGAAGGACCATGTATAATTTTATAGACATCTCTCATGTTTCCACTTGCCTCCTAGCTTCTACCAACAAATATCTTTGTGAATCCCACCTGCTCCTTCGGGAATAAAGGTAGGATATAAATCCAATAAAGAAATAGTGAAAGAAAATAAATAAAGGGAGCTAGAAGTTGAGTTTCCCCACACCTTTGTCCAGAATCCATTTCCTAGTTCTGCCCTGAACTTCTTTGCTAGTAACATAGTAAAGGGGTTGCCCCCCCCCCTTATTGATTTTGGTTTGATTTAGCATTTGTGTTTCACTTTTCCACAATGAGCTTGAGCTCAAAGTGGCACACAATTATCACAAAAGCTTTAAAAATGAGCAAATATTACAAGCACTATAATATCAGAAGCACAACAACATAAATAGGGCAAAAAACAACAACCCCAAAATAATTCCTCAAACAGTACAATTCATAGCTGTCAACTTACAGATTTGAAAATAAGGGACCTGCAGCCTCACCTGTTCCAGGCACTCCAGTCTTCCTGTCCTCCTGCAGTCTGGTCAAACTCATGCTGGTAGCTTCGAGAACACTGTCCAACCAACTTTGTAACCAGAGGTTCAACTGAATAGAATCTGAATCACATGAACCACAAGGCCTATGCAGCCTCAACTTAAGATGGCTCCCCCGCCTGGCTTTGCACTGCAAAGTTTGCAGCAGCACGTGCAACAAAATGGCGTCCAGCATTCAAAAAACCCTCAGCTTGCATTAACTAGCCACACACAAGGCATGCAAGCTCCACCCCCCAGTCGTTCTTAGACTTCTTATTGAGTGAGCAACACAGCCAAGCAACACAGTTGGAGCCTCCCTCCTCCCTGGCTGGCAGGGAGGGAGGGAGAGGAGCTGCTTCCTTTGAAATTTAAGGGACATCATTTAAGGGACAGCAGCGGGACATGGCGCTGGAATAAGGGACTGTCCCTTCAAATAAGGGACACTTGACAGCTATGGTACAATTCAGTGCAAACTCCTTGTGGTTCAAAATATCAGAAATGGCTACTGAGCACTAGCCCTGTGCCTTGCTTCTGGAAAGTGGCTTTTTCACTGAGTACAGCAGCAGCATACTCCCAAGCAACAATAGCTTCCATAGCTTTTAGACTCTGCTTTCTTTTCACTCTTAAGAAATTTGATCAAATCTAATTTTTTGGAGGGATGGGGCAACAGATTCCATAGAAGATCCAGATTGTCTTTTTCCATGTGGGATATTTAAGATAATTCCTTTCCACAGTCTTTGGAGGAATAGTCTCCTCACAGGGGCATGGGCCCAAGGCAAAGACCCTGACTGAGTACAAGACCCTTCAGCTTGTGCTAAAAGGCTCACACCTCTGACAAGGCAGCTTTTAAAGTTACCTGGAGGGAAGGAGAATAGGCAGCCCCTATAAGCTGAACAGCCTCCAATTGAATTACCCCTTAATGCCATTGAATTGCTCCTTGGGATCCTGTTATGCAGTCTGGAGATTTTAGGCATCACTCCCAAACTTAGTTCTGCTGGTGTTGGAGATGTATTCATAGAAGTGAAGTTTCTGTTCTTTCCAAGTATATCCTGAGGCTGTTGCAGCAGATTTCTCAATTATTCTCAGAAGACATTTCTCCCTCCACTAAACGCACCATCGTGAGTCATTTGTTGCTAAATCACCCTATTTTTGTGCTCAAAGTGGCCTAATCATTATGGGAATAATGGCAAGGAAATGAGGTTTGGTTGGGTTGCTGTTGTTTTTTTTTAGCAAGTGAAAAATGCATATGTGGCTTAAATTAACAGTAAATGTACTCTAATGGGATTGGCACCCAGAGGCTCTAATTAAGGGTTAAAATCAAACAAGACGCACAATTTTGGGACTTAATTGCTCCCTGGTTCGTGCGTCATTGCTTGTGTTTGGAAGGAGATGGGAGGGGGAAGGGGTAGTGGTGGTTGCGAGGAGGAGGGGGTTCTTTGAATAAAAAACATTTAAGTGTGCGCCCCCTCCCCTAAAAAGGGGGGGAAAGGTACAGAATATAACTTGCAAGCAAGTAGCTCCTGGCAGAACTGAACCAGATGGCACTCCTTGCGCACCTCATGCGCTGCCTGTTTCTGCTGGTGGTGATCTACTCCTGTCCCGCACCCGCTACACTTCCTGTTCCAGAAGGACTTGCGTGGAAAGACAGCAAGGTAAGCTGAGAATTAGGAGTCAACTGATATAAAACACAGCCAGGAATTACTTTGCCTTCCATCCATTACGTGAGCAAGCTTTAATCATAGAATAATCAATGAAAGCTTGACACAGCAATCCTGTAAATGGCTACTCAGAAGCAGGTCCTATTGAGTTCAGTAAGGCTTGCTCCCATGTAAGAAGGTATTGCAGTTTGTTAATTGGCAGGAAAGGGAGACAGATTTTAATTTTTGGCGTGGCTTTGGGAGGGGGGTATTGGGTGGTTTTGTTTTATTTTTTTCTGTTCTGTTCTGTGACTTGGGAAAAGAGTACAGTATTTGAACTGGTCTTTCCTCTTAGCTTTGGTTTTATTAAAAGTACAACCCGTGTCTGTTTACTCTGAAGTTGTACATAGCTGGCACACAGTTTAAAGAACATGGTATGTTGCAGAATGAAATACTGTATTTTTCCGTGTATAAGATGCCCTATTTTTGGGGACTCCAAATTAAGAAAACACGCCTCAGCACTACCTGTGTATAAGACAAGCCTCAATTTTAAACCTAATTTTTGGTTTAAAAAACCTAGTCTTATACATGGAAAAATACAGTAGGTCTTTGCTCCCAAGGAATATACAGTCCAAAACAGACACTGCAAAGCAGCACAGAGAGGGAATATAAATTGATTGGAGAATTTAGGTACCATTTAAATTAATTTATCAGTAGATAGCCTGAGTTTGTATTATCCCAAATCACTGTACGGTTCAAAGCCACCCATTTACTTGGAAGGAAGCCCAACTGAACTCAGTAGGTCTTCAGAGAAAGTGGTGTATGGGACTACAGTTCTCTTACAGAACTACAGTTCTCAGCTGCAATTTGTAGGAAATGCAGTGGCACTAAGCCATACAGAATGGAATTGTAGAGTTGGAAGGGACCCTGAGGGTCATCCAGCTCAACCCTCTGCAATGCAGGAATCTCAACTAAAGTCTCCATGACAGATGGCAATCCAACCTCTGCTTTAAAATCTCCAAGGAACGACTCGAGTAAACCCCTCTAATTGCAGGAACCTGTTTACCTTTTTACTGTGCACTATAAATGTGTCTTTGGGGTTGCGATTTGGGACATTGTACAATGAAACCTCTATACAGATCTCTGTTTCCAATACTTTTTAACAAAATAAAAATAGAGCTTCCAAACATTTGGTTTTAACAAGATTACTGACAGTGTTGTGGAAACATAAAGTTGTATCCAATGCTAGTCCTACCAAGAGCAGACCCACTAACTTGGGTTCATTAATTTCAGTGGGTCTACTCTGTGTAGGACTTGCTTGAATAAAAGCCATGTATGAGAATTGCTAAAAACTCAAAGAATGCAGACGTGTAAAATTTAAACTGTGCTTACTGATGGGAAAGAACAAAGCCCATTGAGAGCAGAGCAGAGCTGGCTGAGGTATTATTGATGAACTCTCCCTCAGATCTCCATTGTATATGTCTAGGCTTTAAATAATACAGAAAAGAAAATCTGAAGCCTCCCCATTTATCAATATAATTGAATGCTGCTATGGGGTTTTCAAAATGGTCATTAAAGAAGCAGTTTTAAGAGTTTTCAACTCTTGAGTGCTTGATTTACTATACACTCTCTTGAAAAAGATCCAAGAAACAGTTCATAAAATTGATCATTAAAAAGATATTTTTCATCCAAATTATTGGATGAGCTACAACGTGGCAGCCTGATAATTTATTAGCTGATCGCCTTTGTCGTTATTTTTAATGAGAGCTTTATGAATGGAAGTAGAAGACCAGAGTGGAATTATCCTTAAAAGGAAGCACACACAAAATTCCTTTTAGAAATGTTGTTTTGTTTGCAATTTCACTGAAGACTTGGAAAATTAAGACGTAAAAGGAGTTCTCCCCCTCTTTCAGTTGTGAGGCAGAAAAAGAAGACATCCAGTCAACTGGATATAAATCAGTATAGGAGATCATCACTCATCTCTGTCATTTCTGCTCTTCTTGAAGAAGACAAATGCCTAGTTTCTTTATTTAATATATTTATATACTGCTTACTACTTATGACTGTTTCTAAGCAGTTTACAGAATAACAAAGGCAATGTGTATCTATAACTAACAATGAAACTCAGAAAATACAACAGTGCAATAAATGAAATCCTCGCCCCAATGAAAACAGAACAGTAACACATTTTGAAACATCTTTAGAGTGAAGGATACCTTCCCTCTTCAACTGTCCCCTTGCCATGGCATATCCTGACTCACAAAATACAACACTAGGTAGGTAAAGAGCCCACATGAAAATGGGACAAGGAGGATCAGTGGCAGAGAGCATGCTTTGTGTGCGCTAGGTCTTTGTGTGGTCCAGTCTCCAGCAGGTCTAGGAAAGATCTCTACATGAGACCTTGGAGAACTGGTCAGAGGAAATTCCACAGAGCTAGATGGATCCAGTGGCCTGTCCTAATAGAATGCAGCTTCCCTTGTTCTTACGGAGTTAATCTAGCACACATTCACCTAAATCAAGTGTGGAGAGCCTTTGTCCCTCCAGTTGTTGAAATACAACTCCCATCACCCATGGCCATGCTTGTTAGGACTGATGGGAGCTGTAGTTCAGCAACATCTGGAGGGCCAAAGGCTCTGCAGACCTGAAACATACTTTGCATTTTAAACTGAATTCATTTCAACTGTGTTTAATCTTGCCCAAAGCAGTTGATGCTCTGTGTGTGTTTGTAAAACCATTCAATTTGTGCTTCTCCCAGCTATTCCTGCCGTTCTGCATTTCTGCAATAATGCCTAATACACCTCTGCTTCATTTGCAAGTATTCGCAGGCACAGACAGACATAAAAAGAAGTGAGCTGCTTGCTTTCCTTTCTGGCCTCGCCGACTGGGTATCTCGTACGAATGAGGCACCACTATCAAGGCAGGAAAAGGCTGGGCTCAGCTCTCGGGAAGACAGAGCCCCTCATCCTCATCCTCAGCCCCCAGCCCGGGAAAAGGCACCCTGTAAGAACTTCTTCTGGAAGACTTTCTCTTCCTGCTAACGAAAATTACTTCTTGGGATGTTGCCCTAGCACCAGTGGACTCGAGATGGCTATGATCGGTGACTTCTCTCCTTGAGCAGCAAGTGCTGCTATGTAATTTAAAATTTCTCCTTTCCCTTTTGTTGATAATAGATGTGTGCATAAAGAACCAAATCAGTATGCTCATAACTCCCAACTCATGTGCAGATGTGTTCGTAGGGCATTTAACTGATGTTCCCCATCTCATTCAGACTGAAATAAAGCACACTCCATGTATATTTGCCTGTAAATAACTTCTACACATTTCCAACCAATTACTAGGCGTGCTAGTGCACCATGTCAAAAGAGAGATGTGTGCTCCTTGCTGTTATAATTGTGTTGTGGATGTGTTTGGGCAGCCTATAGCACTGGAGAGTAAGAGGGACATGTACCATTAAAAAAAACAAAAACCCCAAGAATTGTTCTGTTAATTACCGGTACATTTTTTATCCCACTTATCCTCTAAGTTGAGATTCTTAGAAACCTCAGTCCTGTGTTGTTTTTCTGGGCTTCCACCGAATCACAGTATAAATGCAGTTCTGCCTATATTTCTTTGAATCCATTAAAAATGCAGATGACTGCATTGTACTCTTACATGTACAACATACCCCAACAACAGATGGTTAGAACTGAGAGTTAAATGCATTTACTTCAAAAGAAGCCCTGTGGATCTCCACTTCTCACAAGTGTGTTTAAGAGCACAGCCTTGGTTTCTCGGAACTTTTTGTTCATTTAAAATTGGAGCATGGAAACCAGATCATGAAATGTTTTTGTTAAAGAAATTTAGGAAATTTAAACACACACACACACACACACACCAGCAACCAGGCTAGTCACTGGTATAGTGAAGTGTTTTCTGCCAAGCTGCATAACCTTGAATTGACGTGCCGTTCTTTGTGGGAGAGAAGGAATGAACAACACACACAAACATATTGGGGGAAAGCTTCAGCTGTTCCTCACGGATTCTCACCAGCACACTAAAGAGTGTTGTCCCAACTTGTCTTTCCTCTGCTGTTTGCTAGTGCTAAGCTTGTCTCCTAGTACAAATAAGCCTTTAGATTCTGAAATAAAACTTTGCTGTGTGCATACGTAAACCTTTGTGATGTATTCTATCCAGAGAGAGCGTGGACATGTGATTACATGTGCCTCTTTCCTTAGCAACATTTCATGTAGTGCCTCTGGCTCAGTTTGTAAACTTGACCTGGACAATTTTTTCTTCTGTATGTGAATTGGACAGACACTGGTACTAACTGCCCTTCCTCCACCACCTCCCCACTGATCAGATTCTCTTGTTGTGGCAAAGCTGAAGAAAGTCTGCACTTGGGGGTCCTTTTAAATCATGGCTGGGGAAATCTGGACTCTTCCATATGTTGCTGGACTCCAAATCCAGCATGACCAATGGTCAGGGCTGATGGGAGTTCATAGAATTATACAATTATGGAGTTGGAAGAAGTCCAATGCAGGATTTTTAGCTAAAGCATCCATGACTGGTGGCTCTTAAAGGGCTGAGAGCCTGGGGAGCTGTTGCCACTCAGAAATAAACAAGACTGGGCTAACGGTCTGATTTGTACAAGTCAGCTTCCCATCTGCGTGATTGTATTTCATCATTAAAACCCCAAGGCCATTTCAGGAATGTATGTCATGCACTGTTTTTGAGAAAACTGTTCTGCTGTGTTAGAGGGGGAAAAACATACATGAGAACTGTATAGCAGTTTCAGAAGTTATCTTATCTGTTGCTTCTTTGTAGGGGGCTGACCCATATACTAAGCAGTTGGGATTTGTATGCAAAGACATACATACTTAAGTTTAAAAAACCAGTAGCACAGACAGCAGGCAGAAACATATATAATAATACAAAAGTTTTAATACTAGGCAAATGTAGGGTTAAATAGGGTTTTTGTTTTTAGAAAAACAAACCGCTAACTAGTCGAATTTATTGCTAATAGGAGTGGTGACTATCCCATGATACTTTATGCAGGTTATAGTCTCAGCTGGAATGCCCCAGAAAGTCCGATTATTGTTTTCTTAATGTCATCCTCATAAACAGACGGAGTCTCATAGAAACGGCACAGGCACTGAGGCAAGAGAAGGAGAGCTACCAGTTGGGGGCCACTTTGCAAGCGTGGCTTTGGAATACAAGACGTTTGGCTGCATTCTACTACAGCATGCAACGTGCCACTAAAATGCACGTTTTGTACATATTTGTAATGGAGTGTGATGTTCTAGCAGGAAGGAAGCATCGAAAAGCAGGAAGGTAAGGCAAAAGGTGATCAGGCACACAAAAAACAGGACCCATAAACTCTAGGGCGTTGGGCCAGTGCCAAAGCCAGAAATTAATCATGGTGGCAACTTAACAGCACCACCTGTAAGCATAAAGGAGATAGGTTTTTTTAGTTTTTCCTCGCTGGAAATATATATCACAATCTTTTAAGGATTCCAGCAGGCCCTCATAGCATGTGCACGAAATAATCTCGCCCCCCCTAATTTGGCAGTTGGTATACTGCAGTGCTTTGTAGAAATGCAAAGACTTTCTCCACGCAGAATGATGCACAGTTCAGTGAACAATGTCCTGGTTAGAATTTCTGTGCTCACATGGTGTTGTTCAGTTTGTAGAGGCACAGAAAACTCATCGATTCGTCCAAACCTGGACTCCCAAGGCCTCCTTATTTCTTGCGTTTGGAACTCAACCAGTCCCCCCATGGCAACTTTTTCTTGCCCTTGGACATGCTCCTCAAGGAGTTTAGGGCGTGAACCTGCTGTAGGCGCCTTGAAAGTTCCTCCCCACAGGCTTGCTGTAAGGCCTCTGTCTTCAGCTTGTCCCAGTTCAGGGTCAGAGCAAGAGCTTCTGGGTTTGCCTTGTAAACCAGCTGCAACAGAAAGGAAAGAAGAATCTATCACTTGGGACCAAGCTGTGTAAGATATGTCAGATTCATGATTGGCTCTCTCTTGATGCCACATGGCTTGCTGGCAGGGGACATGATTTACATGCATAAGGTTTAATCCTTGGACATTTCTACTCTCAAAGAGGTTCCCAGAACCAGTAATGAGAGAGGACCTTGCTAGACATCAGCAGCCTAGATTGATAGATGGTTTGAACTGGTGCAAGGAAGTTGTTTGTGTTGGTTCTATTTGTAATTTAATTTTTAAGACTTTCTATACTATCCTTCATGGTAAGATTGCAGGAAAGGAGTGGTATCAAAAAATACAATATAAACACATCAAACAAAAACAACACTGGGAACTACAAGTTGTTTTTGTTTCAAATCAACAAGGAGATCAATGCCTAAAAGCTTTAAACTTAAAAACATTTTAAGAGCCGAAGAGAAGGACAAACATCTTTATGTGGTGCTGACTGGAAAATCCAGTTAAAACAAAAACGGGAAGAGTGGCAGATTCAGCTCCAAATAGCTTAGGGCCTCAGAGAAGGTAGAATTTGGAACCTTGGAAGACAAATGGACTAGAGGGAGAGAGTGATGTTAACCCAATTCTGGCTGTGTGTTGTTCACCCGACCCCACCTTCTTTTAGAATAAATATTGACTGCATTAGTTCCCAAATGCTTTATCCCGCCCATTCTCTTACCATGGAGATTTTATTCAATTTGGAATCCAGGCACAACCAAGGGAAAGAACTCTGTGTGGACTCACCTCTAAGTCCTGACTTGCCAGGCAAAGTTCTGGGGCAGACTTCTCTTTAAGTGTGGTCCGAACATGGCTGCTGAGTGGAACCCCGTTACCAGCACCTCTGCTGCTGCTGCTGCTGCTGTTGCTGCTCCCAGCGTCAACCACGTCTGTTTCGTCCATGGCAGTTTCCTCTGATCCTGGCTCTAGGTAATGATGATTAGAATAATTCATAAAGGTAAAGGGACCACCATATTGCCCCTCTTTCTTCACTCTGGCATGGTTTGTTGAGAAACGAGCCTCAGCCAACAGCCTCCTTACCTTCTGCTTTGGGTACAATGTGGTCCTCGTTTTTCAACGCTTGCAGGTAGAGTTCCAGAAGCTGCCGGGATTGCCGTTCCTCTTCCCGCCTGTCCAGCACCTGCTGAAGGGTGTCTTGCAGAGTCTGGATCTTGGGCTGGTTCTCAGAAAGCTCTTGGGCCAGGTCAGAGCATGGCACATCGATGAGCACCTAGAATAAGACAAGGTCCATCCTCTTACAGCAAAGGTGAGGGATCCTCACTCCCCCCACCTGTTGCCAAAGGCACACGGCCCTTCCTTTACCTGGAGATCTTCCTCCGACATCAAGATGATGGTGGAGAGGTCGTCCTTCAGTTGTCTGGCCAGTTGCCTCCACTTCTCTCCTCCACCACCACCACCGTCCACTCTGTCAACGTCTGTGACGTCTTCCTTGAGCCAAGCTGTGCCCCCATCTGAAAAAGAGCCACAGTTATAAGCGTAAAGGTAAAGCTTATTGAGCAGGTTTATGCCAAAATTCACAAAGTAATCAGCTTGTTCGCATGACAGTGTAGGCCAAGCTATAGTGATGCTGTGCAAATGTGGGGACTTCTGGAGAGGAACTTGCAGCCACTGTTCTCCTCCCTGGTCCTTTTTACTGCCACACTGAGCTAAGCCAAAGTTAAAGGTAAAGGGACCCCTGACCAGTAGGTCCAGTCGTGGCCGACTCTGGGGTTGCGGCGCTCATCTTGTTTTATTGGCTGAGGGAGCTGGCATACAGCTTCCGGGTCATGTGGTCAGCAAACCAGAGCAGCGCACGGAAACGCTGTTTACCTTCCCGCTGGAGCGGTACTTATTTATCTACTTGCACTTTGACGTGCTTTTGAACTGCTAGGTTGGCAGGAGCAGGGACCGAGCAACAGGAGCTCACTCCGTTGCGGGGATTCGAACCGCCGACCTTCTGATCGGCAAGTCCTAGGCTCTGTGGTTTAACCCACAGCACCACCTGAATCCCCTAAGCCAAAGTTAATCAGGGTTAAAAGAACATAAGAGCATAAGAAGAGCTGTGCTAAGTTAGGCCAGTGGCCTACCTAGTCCAGCATCATCCCTGGCCAACCAGATGCCTGTGGGAAACCCACAAGCAGGACTCGAGCACAAGAACACTCCCCTCCTGTGGCTTCCTGCAACTGGTATTCAGAAATATTTCTGCCTCCAACTGCGGAGGGCACAGCATAAGCATCGTGCCTAGTAGCAACTTTGCCCTCTGTGAATTTGTCCAATCCTTTTTTAATGCCATCCAAGTTGATGATCATCACTGCCTCCTGTGGAAATGAGTCCCATAGGTTAACTGCGCTGCATGGAGAAGTACTTTCTTTTATCTGTCCTGAATCTTCCAGCGCTCAGCTTCATTGGATGTTCAAGAGCTCTAGTGCTAAGAGCATGGAACAGGAGAGGGAAACTGGTGCCCCTCCAGATGTTGCTGGATTACAAGTCCCATCCGCCTTAGCCAGCTTGGCAATGGGTCAGGGATGATGGGAGCTGTGGTCCAGCAACATTGGGAAGGTACCATGTTGGCTATCCCTGCTCTAGGCAAATTAATGCCTTATATGGCAGGTGTAAAATGTGCACCAAAAGCATGTGATGCTCTGCAAGTGCAACAATAAGGTAAGGCAACGACTGCTTTGTGTGGGAGTTGTGCTCCAGACCCCCATGCATAAACCCGCTCTGCCTCCACCCGCAACACCTTTTCCAGCCACTTCTGGGGTGCGGCGATGTGCGCAATTGTGGTCGTATGTCAATTGGGCGCATGCAAATTGGTCGTTACCTGTTCTAAAAAGTTGAAGACCCTAAAGGGGGGGTGGTAGTGCTGGCAGCAGCAACAAAGGTGCTTCTTGCCCAGGGCCTCATTTGCCCCTACACGCTGGATCCATATCCTACAGAGCTTCAACTCTTCCACTTACCTATGCTGCTGGTGGACCACTTCTCGCCCTTTGCCAGTGCCACAAACCTGGTGTTTGGTGGCAGACACAAAAAATAGTCCTCGTCATCCACAATGGTGCCATCCTCAGCCAACACCAGCGTGATGGGCTCTGAGGCCTTGTCAATTGCTAGGAGGTCACAGGCTGTGGAAAGGGGAAGAGTCCATATAGCTTGGTGGTATAAATATTATTATTATTATTATTATTGCATGCAGAAGGTC